CGCTTTACCTAGTAGTTTTCTACTTTACCGACTGTTTACAGGGGAACTGGCTACCCTGCTATTACTAGAGAAGATAAGCCCACTTGACGATCCAATTTCGACCACGTTTGCACATGACGTCACCTGATGACAACAATCCAGCTCGTGGGCATGGAAAAGCATTACGCTAGATCGGTTTTAATAAATATTTTATGTTTATTTATTATAATATTGATATATTATTTTTATAATATTGATATATTATTAAATTAAATATTTTTTGGCTTGCCTAATCATCTTAAAATGTCCCAAAACGTGTAAAAAAAGTATTATGAGCAAAAAAGAAAATTTCTGTCAATCGGTATTCACCATAACTTTTAAAGGAATTGCGCTATAGATAAGTGTTATTCCATTAGGGGTCGGACTGGAATATTTTTAAGTAAAATTGGTAAAGGGGAGGGGGTGAAATGGTAAATGGTAAATGGTAAAAAATCGAGTGATATGTCGTTTTATAGGTTTCTGACTATGGACATTTTGATTTTATAATCCGTTTAATATTTTATTAGATAATTAGAAAAAGAGTAAAAAGGGGAGGGGTAAAAATTTAAAATATTTAAAAAATCGAGTTGTCTCGAGCTATTTTAATTTTAAAATTCGTTTAGTGATTTAATAAAAAAATTACAAGTAGGGGTAAAAAGGGTAGGGAGTAAAAATTCTACATAAATATTTGAAAAAAAATTCGAATTAATCTTATTTTAGAGCTTTAGAGTGTAGACATTTTCATTTTACAATCAATTTAATATTTTTATAAAAATTACGGATGAATGTAAAAAAGGAGGAGTAAAAATTGAAAATGTTTGGATAAACAAGTAATAAATCGTCCTAAAGTTAAACAGCAATAGAAGAGTTTTACGCACGTTTACTTCTAAAACACAACAAACCAAAGAAACAAAATTAAATAATCAGTAATACATGCTTAACCGCTTTGCGCCATATAGAACTGGCTGTTGCTGAGTCGGGTAGTCTCCCAGTGACGTCAGGCGTGAGAGAGAGATGGGCTGATCGCATGCGCGTGGGTTTATCTTCTCGAGTAATAGTATCATGCGTGCTCCTTGTGTAGTCTCCATGGATTATTGGATAGCTGTCAGATCATAGATAGTAAATACTACAAGATAATTTTTACCGCGATGGTAAAGTTGCTCACTGTTCCTTGAGTATATTTTGACATTTCGTTGCTTAGAATTTCTATTGGGTAATACAGGGATACCAGCATGATACAATTAGTTTTATTTTTGAAATCGTAAAAGCTTATTGGCGGCGCAGGAGTGCCATTCGTGAATCGTACTGGTTCGAGAGTGACAATTGGCTGAAAGAGGTTTTATTCACGGCGATTCTGCGCGATTGAGGTTTCGTCTTCGAGTTGAAGAAAAACGAAGCCACACGTGTTCTTCTTCGTCAAGAGATGCTTTTCTAGTTTTTGTAATTATATGAAATCATCCCATGCCGTTAGTAAAGTATCTCATTATTATAAGAAGCACTAATGGTAAAATTGAATCTGGTCAACGTGGATTTAAGCCCGTTATTTTGGTGATTCTAGTGCCGGCTTTTTAACTCGTGTTTGAGGAGAATTGGATTTGAAGTTTAGCCCATTTGCAGATGTATTAGCAGTCCGATCATAGTTCAGACTGTATATTGAAGGGTACACTGGTTTTAGGAAGGTTTTAGCAGATTTCTCTGAGTTTTTGATTGAATTTACACCCTCTGAGATAAGAGGTAGGTTTTATTCTTTTTTTATAGTGTAATTTATCCTGTAAATATTGCTATTCATTTATTGTTAATAATAGACATTCTTTCAGATAGTAAATTAGGGGGTTGAATGTGGGGTACAGTTATTGCTGTATTGAATTTTGCTAATTAAATTTTAATTGGATACTTTTGTTGATTTACTTGAATAGTCCTTGCTTTGGCAGGCACTAATTTCAACCCTCTGGGTGGCTTAAGATTTCATTTTTACTTTTTATTGTCTTGAATTAAGAGATAACTGGGTGGGATCAAATTAAGTTACACCAATCTGAATAGGGATTGTATATTTTAGGGTTTTTGGGCCCAGTGTTGGGACCCAGTATTTGTATCCGGTATTCGGATACAGGCTGCATATTTTGCCTGTCGATATCACGGACTGGGAGAAGTGAATCAAGATTTTATTTTCCTTACTTTTGAGTAACATTTAGCCTACGACTGATACGTAGATGTATATGTATATTTTATTATGTTATAAGACGTTAAAATGATATTGATATGCTAGGTCATGAGGTATTAAGGGCCGGGGACGTTTATTACATTTAAGTATAGTTCATATATTACAACATTAAGGGGATTGGGTATTTTACCTTAAGATGATGTTTATTAAAAATTGATGTTATTGATAGTAGTATTTTAGGTTATAAGTCTCTGGGTATATAAATCTGTTTATATAGAAAGTAAAGGATTTTTATGACTAGATGTGGTTATGTTTTCTTTTGGTTACACCTGACACGTTTTTCGCCTTGGATATGACGCTAATGACCGTTAGGTATTATCTGGTAATTTTACTGTTTAGTTTCTGTAACTGCTAGGGCACATATATTGTTTTTAAGTATTTTGGGGTTATTAAAGGCCTATATATAAATATGTAAGTATTCATTATGGAGGGTAGAAAAAAGGAGGACAATCTTATATGGATCTTTATATTAAAAAGTGGCCACCAAAATGTATACAATTAAGATGGCGCTCGTGTAGCCAGGGGACAAAATCCAATGCTATATAGTCAAATAGATTGCTCATTCATAAGAATTATTTATTGTTTATATTATTATTGTTCAATAAAATTTGACTATTGTCGTGTATTGTCAAAATTTATCTACGATCACAGAACACTTACTCTTCTACGACCAGTCCCTTTTCACGGTGTAGTTTTTAGTTTTTTATGATTGAGCAATATTTATTACTATATACATCATTGGTGTCATTGTGTGATCTGTCAACGTCCCCTGGGCACAGAAGCGCCATCTTAATTGTATACATTTTGAGGGACACTTTTTGTATACAGAGATTGTTCTCCTTTCCTCTACCCTCCATAGTATTCATTTACGAATTACATTATTGGAGGGCCATTATTTAACTAGGAATTGTGAGGGTCGTTAACTCGGGGTAAGGGGAAAGACAAAATATTTTCCGATTTGTAAATAAACAAGATCTAAGTTAAGGTTGTCTTTTTATTTCCTATTTATTTGGTAGATTTAAAAGTAGGACTTTTGTGGATTTAAAAAGGCTCAATATAAAAGATCTACCTGGCGTCCAACCCAACATCAAAATTATAGTATTTTTCCCAGATTACAAAAGTAATCACCCCTTCCCATCTCCACTAGAGTGAACTGGAGCCACAAGGTTGACATCTGGGACAACCGAACTTTTGTGTCACGTTAATATGACGTTACAAACGGAAATTCTAAAAATGACTACTGATATAAAACTTAAAATTGCTTCAAACACAAGAGTATCAAAAACAAAATTTAATAACCATTGATATAATTATTTTATTTTAATTTACTGATAAATGTATTAATTTATTTAGAATAGTTTACATTCTATTAATATATTATTCAAATCTCGTGATACCTTTAGGGAAAATTCTTACTATCGGTCCGGATTTTCTATATGCGTAATAATATATCTTGCTATTTATTTCATGACTTTCTCAACAAACCACTCTTTTAAAACGCTTCTTTTCCTAAATCGGCTGCATTTTGTCTGGTGCGAGACGACACAATCTTATGGCAATCCACGCATGAAAATCGAAAAATATTAATGCATGTCGAAAATTCACCTGGCACATGTTCAACACCGGCAAACGCGTGCTTAAGTGATGTAGGTCAAGCTCCGGCTCAGCTGTACACAGAGTGTCTCGCGTTTGTGGTGCAGGCAGTCAGACAATAATTAACCAAGAGATAGTCATCAGATGCTTATCGGCATAAGTCGGATATGATTATGATCCAACTTGCACCGGATCAAATTTTAAAGAGCCGTACAACAGCATTAAATTATTTAATAGTCTTTAATCAGAAATGTTGTTTATATTAACCAATTACAATATTAATTATTTGTTTTCAGAATAACTTGTGTAATTTATAATCGATTGAGTGAATTTATGGGTTGCAAATTGTGTGTGTCTGTAATTTCTCCAGACACTTTTAGAAATTTATTGATGTTATTTTGATGTTCGTATTAATTATCCAATTATTATTATTATTGTTTCCTGACAATTTAAGTAAGATAATTGTATCACTGTTTTTCTATTTAAAGATGATTTATAAAAACATTAATTTATTTCTATAATAAACCTCTTAAAATGCCTTTTAATTTGCTTGATCTCTGATATTATTGATTTACTTTGACAGGTAACTATTTCTACAATAAAATGAACATAAAAAATTTCTTTTTTAAAATTTTCCATTAATTTGCGTCTGAATATGCTTTTTAATTTGTGTCTTAATTTGCAGGGGCGTGCCGTGACATTTGGCCGCCCGTGTGCAAAACTTAAATTTAGCCGCTTCTATTTCAAAATACTTTCGTCAAAAATTTAATTCAAGACATGACATAAAGTTAGTTAATATTGTTTTCATTTAAATATTTTTGAGTAATAGCAAAAATATTTAGGTGAAAGTTTGCATCTCACTAATAAATTAAAAACTACAATTTTAACAGTAATTTTTTAATTAACTGAATAAAACTAAATCATAAAATATTCTATTTATAATATGTATAACAAAAATAAAAATGTTATAACATTACAAAGTGACATCTAATTGATCTAATACAATCGGATCAGTTAGTTTAACATTAATGAATATACTACAAAATTATATTTATTTTTTGTTGCATTGTTGCTGCAAATTTACTAGCTGAATAATAAGTTTACATGACATGAATGACATGTTTTTACTAGTTTAAAAATGGATTGTCATTGTCCCTAGTGTGAGAAATCATACAAAAATCGTTTTTCTTGCTTTCTTTGCGGAAAAATCCCTAATAAATTCTTCCAAATTCAGGGAATCCATAATATCATTTTCTATGGCAATTATAGATAAATCATTGAGTCTATCTTGTAACATGGTAGATCTCAAATAATTTTTAATAATTTTTAGCTTAGAAAACGATCTTTCTCCCGAGGCTACTGATACGGGCAAAGTGAGTAAATGTCTAAGGGCTATTGAAATATTTGGAAAAGTTGACAATAATTGATTTTGAAATATGAACTCCAAAATGAACTTAGGATCTTGTTGAGAACCTTCTGAAGTTGAAGCTGATTCAAAGTAAATCTTGAGTGTTTTAATTTCTTCATATAAATCAGATGCATCAATATCAAATTCGTTACGAGAATCATCCGTCAAACGAGAATTCAATTGTTTACATGATTTTAACAATATCTCATTTGTTAAGGTGAACATATTATACATAAATCCAAACATGTCGTTAAAATTTTGCAATCCTTTGAATCGCTCTTGTAAAGATGACAGTATGCGGTCCAAAATAGAGAAAAAAACATTCACGTTGAAATGAGTTTTTGCATCGGTTATACTCATCATCATGTTCATAATCAAATTGTTTCGTTTTTTTTCTACGTCGAATAGTCTGAGAAAGAGGAAAGTTTGATTCAACTTTTAGATCTTCAGCAAGTTCGTGAACGTCAACAAGAAGTTTATTAAAACCTTCATCTGATCTCAATGTCGAAAAATAATTTATTAAATTGTTTAAATAATCTATACTAATTTTTATATTTATTTCCGGATTTTGCAAAGTTTTGCTAATCGAATCTATTTTGAACAAAATGTTATACCAAATAATTATTGAACATAAAAATGTGAAATTTTTAATTTTTGAAGCTAACGAACGTGCTTGATGTGAACTATTTAAATCGTTTGAGGAAGAGATGTTTTCCATTATTTGCATTAATGCATCATAAATCTGACCAATTTGATAACGTAAAGGTTTTATCGCATCAATTCTACTTGACCAGCGTGTTTCACTCAATGGCTTTAAATTTATTCCCGTTCCCAAAATATGCGATTTTAGTACAGTCCATCTTTTTGTCGATGCTGAAAAAAATACATAAAGTTCTTGAACGATATCAAAAAAACCTGATATTTCAAAAGAAATCTTTGCAGCATCGTTAACGACTAAATTTAAGGTATGTGCTGAACAAGGTACAAAAAACGCTCTAGGATTCAAGTTTAATATTTTTTTTGCAATCCATTATGAATTCCCCGCATATTTGCACCGTTATCATAACCTTGTCCACGCATGTCATAAAAATTTGTATTTCGTGCAAAACTTTTTTATTAATCAATGCAAAGCGCTTTCGGCTTATTTGCCATCATCAGTGCTCATCTACAAAAATTGTGGATGTAAACTTACAATTTAAAAAGATTTAAAAAAAAAAATATATTATAAAATCTGAATTAGACTTTTAAGTCAAAACTTTTGACTTAAAAGTCTAATTCAGATTTTATAATATATTTTTTTTAAATCTTTTTAAATTGTAAGTTTACATCCACAATTTTTGTAGATGAGCACTGATGATGGCAAATAAGCCGAAAGCGCTTTGCATTGATTAATAAAAAAGTTTTGCACGAAATACAAGTTTTTCCTTTTTGAATCTAAACTACGTGCACACAGCTGTCAACCTTTTTTGGTTTTTTTAATAAAAATTTAAATTTAATTTCTGTAATAAGTTTATTAAATATTTACTCAAACCTTCTCCGGTTGAATCTGTTATAGGACAAAATTCTATAAAATGCTCACGCAATTCAACTTTTCATGTTGATTCGTTTAAATTTACAAATCTAATAATGAGACTTATTTGTTCAACATGGCTTACATCCGGCGTACAATCAAGCATAATTGAATAGTATTTATTTTTTCTAACTAAATCCAAAATATTTTTTCGAATTTTAGAACTAATTAAACCTAGAAGTTCATTTTGAATTTTATTTCCTAAATAGTAAGGCATTGTCTTGCCACTTTTTTGGGCTTTTTGTGTTCGGCTAACATGTTCTTGCATTACAGAGTCAAATTTTGCAATCATTTCAATAGCTCTAAGGAAGTTACCATTATTATTTTCATATAATTTATTACTCGGACCACGTACAGCAAGGCATTGCCTAGATAAAAACTGTATAACACAAATAATTCTTTTAATAACACCATACCAATATTTTTTTTCTACTTCAATTAAACGTACCTCTTTTTGATTTATCGTACATTGTTTGGATAACATATTTAACAAATAAACCAAGATTTGACGTTCTCGTTATAAAAAACACCTTCCTCGTGTCTTGATAAAATTTGTGTCAAATGTTGCCAATCAGAACATCCCTGTTTACAAGATAAATTTGTTGTTGAACTAGAACTAGAAGTAGAGATTTTGCCAAAGATTTTACAGCAAAAGCAGTAAATCGAATTTTTAGATTCAGAATAGATTAATCACCTCCTTTTAGTTTTTTCGCCGTTTGGAAGTTGACGGTAATAATAATTTTTAGAAATGCGAATTTACAAGATATGACCTTTTCCTTTTGTTCATTTATTTCTGAACAACGCTATAAACTTTTTGTGTTCTGGTGTAATTCTAGCTTTAATGTTACAAATAGTAGTCGAACATATGATAGTGCACTTCCTTGGAAAACCTACAATAGAATAGAAAAACTTAACAATAGTAAGTAGTTAGTTTGTATAATAAAAAATGTTTCTTTCTTAAATACAAATCTCTTTGAATACAATAATTCTAGAAAGATTTGGAGCTTAGAAAGTTCACTTACGTTGCGAATTTCAGAGTCAATAAACTTTATATTATTTATATAAAAATCATTAATCATGTTAGAATCAACCTTGGATAAGTTGTATAAAGATTTTTTTTAATCTTGTTTGTACTTTAGCCATTTTTAAAAAATGAAATCATTTTAAAATAAATCAAAATAATCTCGCAATCGAAAACGAGGTTAGGATTTTTGACATTATAGACGCAGATATGAAACCACATTGCCAGATTCAGAGAAAATATTTTGCGATATGGCGATTATGATTTGAATAACAATTTGATTAAGAAGAAAAGTTTATTGAAATAGATTAAGTGTCAAGTTGCTTCATAAAAACTGAATTTAAACAATTATTCTTTTAGTTTTAATATATATGTTTTTGTGTTAAATTATACGATCTTAACCTTTAAATTGTCCGTTATCCGGAATTTCAATAATTCTTTATAGGAAGCGGCAACAAGGTAAAAACATATCGATTATTGTCTGGAAGGTTATAAATTGGCCAATCAGATTTTAGGCTTTATTATGACGATGCTTAAAAATAATTGTGGCGCGCGTTTCAAATTTGCTTGATTTTTTTTTAATTTTAAAAAATTCTTGTAGGAAAATTTGAAAAGAGAAAAATTTCAAAAAATATTTTTAGATAAGATTTTGTGCTAGCTTTAAAAAAAAATATTTTTGAATTTCACTAAACACGCCCATTGCAGTTTTTATGTATAAGATCATATGTACGATTTTAAGCGTCGAATATAGATTTTTATGTTGTTGAAGACGGTTGGTTTTATTTAGTAGAAAGAAAAAATTACGAGTGAAAATATTAAATTACTTAGTAAGTATGGATAATAATCCACAACACAGTGCGCATTATGTTTTAAATACTGCCTCTTTAGACTACTGAACACTGAATTATCCCGACGCAAGTATTTTTTTTTATATCTCAAATAATGTCTTTCTTTTTATAAATTCATATTTTTCGAATTATTTAATTACCAAATCATCCTGTGAATAAATACTGATTGATCTATTCGCAGATTTGCTTTCAGTTTAAGTCCAAATTTTACCTTCTGATTTAAATTAGCCGGTATATATCAAGTAAAAACTATGAGATTTGGACCCTCAAATAAACGAATATAGGACGATATTTGTATTTTAAAAATATCAATTATAAACTTGGGTGAAAATATTTAGTTATATTGACAGGAAATACTAGAAATTAATTCAATAAAAGATAATAACTTTAAATTGGAAGGTAAAATTTAGAACAAAATAAAATTAGATAGAAATAAGTATTAAATGATTAAAAACAATAAAACGTAAATAAAATAATAGTAAAATAAAACAGATAAAATAATAATGCACGTATGAGATGGCGTACCTGAAATAAAAGAAAAACAAGTATGAGCAATAAAGTTTACCAAAAGCAGTTTTATGTTAAAGAAAGTTATGAAAAGGTGATATTCATAAACAAAATACTTATTATCCTTTTAATTAACCAGAAAATTATATTGATAACTCTTTATGTCAAAATATGATTAAAAAAATATATAATTGACACAACTTTAAATTTTCCATAATTGAGACAAAATTATATTCTCAATTATGTTGACACTGACCGCAATGCCCAAACTATCAATCGATATATAAATTAAGCAATTACTAGCACACTGATAACAATGGTATGGCGACTCTAAAAAACTGACCACAGTAATCCCAAAATAAACGCATACACTGACCGCAATGTACTACGCCAGAACAGACAATCTAACTCACTTTACTTTTGATTATACCTCGTAGAGGAAAACAAAATATAAGTAAATAGTCAAATAAGTTTTAATTATTTAATTTAACCCCGTTAATTTAGGATATTAGGTTATCTCAATACTTGACAAAATATCCTACGTCAGAATTGACAAATCAACTATAAAAGGTTGATAGAGAATAAATAATTGGGTAATACAATTTGCAAAATAACTTGATTACAAATTAAAACAAAACTAATTGATAGAACATAATTACTCAGTGAAAAAAACTCACCCTATTCAGCAAACAGCCACTCACAAAATGGTTGCGCGTGAAGGGCGCTGGTTACTTTTAAAGAAGTGAATTCAGAGAAAACCGTTTATTTTATATAATGGGTGACAAATATGTATCTTGAATTGACATTAATTCATAATTAACATTTCATTAAACTTATATCTATAGTAACATAGTAACAGTGGCGGCTCGTCGGCTCGTCCATCAACAAGCAAACTTAACACAAAAATTTAAATTATTCACTAGTTTATTATTATTGGAACGAACTCTAATTTTGTTCCGCAAAGCAACTAACTCAAATTTTAAATGATCTATATTCTATACCTGCTTAATATTTTACCTTTAGTTCCCATATTCGTAATCCGATACCTCCGTATCTTAATAGTGTTAACATAAACATAGGCTGTGACTGTTTTGAAAGACAAATATTTCGTACGTTTAAAAACCGAGTGTTTCGTAAAATAAATTTGTATAGAAAATAAAATCATTCTTAAACGAATAACTTAGAATTAACTTACCCAAGCAATTGGAGAAATTTTATAAAATATTTGCGAAAAGAATATTATCATGACAAAGAAGAAAAGGAAATCACTATAGTTGGATATAATTTTTCTCATGTACCACAACATTGCAATTCCAAATAAAATAATAAAATTATAATCTTTTGTGTGATTTATTATTAAATCAAATGGTAAGTTCAAATTTTGATACCCCATAATCAAGATATTTTTCTAGTATTCCAG